AAGGCGCCACGAATGGGAAGTTCCCAGTTGCAGTGGCGACGGAGGAGATAACTAACTAACCTAACTCTTTCTACTCGGGACTATTCATATCTATACCGTCAGGTGTGGGAACCTTTCTGCAAGCCTCATGTCCAGAGTTCCACGGGACGTCGATGAGGAACATGTCCGAGATGGAAGGCTGGGAAAGGGGAAGTTATCATCTTATTCGAGGTCTTGAGGTCAGTAAAAAAAAAGTATCCCCAGCATATCCATACCTCATGATGGTCCCCTATACGTCAACCTTGGCCAAAACCCATGAAATGATTTCTCACGCTACACCTGTACTCAACTGAGAAACTGATGCTTATGCAAACCCTCTTCTCGTACGGGTTACAAATTGTTGATTAACAAACTTCCTCCGCACATTGATAAGCGAAGCTCTCGCCAAAGAAGGAAGTTTTTGAAACATGCATCAAGGAATAAAAATATGATTGTATTCGAGGACATCAACGCCGTTTTCAAGAGTTACGAGTGCTTTATTTCAAATGAAAGCCGTGATCGTTATGAGTCCGATCAGAATGAATTGCCAAAGACTCTTGAGAATGATTCTTCGAGTAATACTGTTTCCAAGAGATGGACACTGAAACTCTGCTTGCTTTTCGGACCAAAATTAAGAAGAATTATTGAAACACCCCTTCCTAGACATGTCCAAGGGAGTAATTTCACCTGATGAATCAGAAAATGAAACAATTTTTTTTTTTCACGGAAGAATTGATAAATCTAAGGTACTTAAAAATTGGAGACCCATCACTATTTGAAAAACTGATAAGTAAAAAATTGTTGAACTCGCTTCGAGTTGACCGTTTGCGATATGATACCAGCCAAACAGCACTCCTGGTGAGGTGAATGCCAATTTGCTGAAAGGGAGAGCGTCGGGCAGTTAGAGGAGCAAGAAACATGGCATCTGTGTCCCGAATAGATTTTCAGATGCCACAACGACGAAGATGACTCGGCGGAGCTCCTTGCTTCCACGAGTCTTCACGTTCCTTCGGTTAGTAATCGGAGTTTTTTTTTAGCACGCTTCGCGTCTGTCGTTTGAGGAACCCCAGATCGCGACTGGGAGCTCTTCAGACGGAAGGAGGGGTGTCGGAGAAGAAATCGATATATGAGAAGAGTTGACGAAATCGATATCGATTGGGATTTCCCTTCTGGGTGGCGAGAGACGAAGCAAGAGAATGAAATTTCATTAAGAGTCTCGATGACTCACGACAGAGGCGTAGCAAGGGGGGGGGGGCAAGGGGGGACAGTTGGCCCTGGACGCAGGGGTGAGGGGAGCGCAAACTAAAAAACTCGAAAGTTTGAGTCCCTGAGTTTGCGCCCCCCTCAACCCTGCGCCCAGGGGCAACTGTCTCCTCTTTCCCTCGCTGCGCCTCTGACTCACGGTGGATTCCGTTCCTCAGATCGAGTGAGGGATTACCGTCGGACATCACGAGTTAGTCGTCAAACTGTTCATGCTTACTTACCTCTATCTTTCCTTACTCTCCCTTTCTTCAACCCCTTCCAGCTAAAAATTTCAACGTTAGGTCGTTTAGGTGAGTTAGGTTAATCAAGGTGAGAATTCATCGCTGAGAACATTTGGAGGAATGATATCGGGCTCGCTTCGCACTCTCTCAACGCAGAATCGCTCTGGCAAATTTCAAGTTCCATCTCACAGGGATTACGGAGAACGCGAAATCTCACTTTTTCGAGGTCTTAATTTCATTCCGGTATTATATGCCAAAAATGGAAAGTTTCTATTTGATATTCACTTCGTTCTTAGCCCTGGGTGTTCTTGGAATTCCTGCACTATTTTATGGCTATATTCTAGGCCTATTGCGCGTCGCATGTACTGACGACTTGCAGTTCAGCCCATGTACTCAAAAGAAAATGCAAGAAATATCTTATTCATATCCTAAAGGCAGTGAGGAGAAACATCGAATTCATCGAAGACAGATGCTGGAAAGAAACGCTGGAGATCTGGTTGACGGCACCGAGTCCGAGTAGATCTCGGTGTTTAAATCGGCTTTGAGGATTCCGATGCCCCTTTCCTCGCTTTAAAATCTCGCCTTTGGGGTGTTACGGAGTCGAGGAAGTATTTCAAAATCGCCTGCTCGTCGAAGAGTGTTTGCTGTTGACTCATTTTTGGTCTTGAGTATGGGATGCCTCGGCTGGTGTACTCGAGGTCGGTCTCATCTCTCCAAAAGTACTGTGCACTTACGGAGGAAAGGAGAACTTGAAGAGAAGTCGTAATTGATGTGGTGGGTGAGGGGCAAATTGCAGACGTTCTGGCTTCTTTTAAGGCGTAGCGCCTCGCGTCGTAGGCTCAAGCTTTTATGCACTTCTTTTACGTACCCACTTCACTATGCTGTCTTTTCCTAAATTAATTACTTTCATCGGTCCGACTGGACGTAGACGACTTTAAAGAAAAGTCTGGAATGGACAGGCTCGAGTGGCCCCCTCGTTCGAGCTTCCTCCAAGGATGGGGACTGCCCGCCCCTGCCGAGCGGAATCTCAACTCCTCTGGCGAGAGGGACACTCTCCGAGCTCATCATTTCCTGTGTCGTGTTTACTGTAATTGGGAGCATCTTATTACCTGTTTACGATTCATCGGCAGACGTCGGGTGTGGAGAACCCCACTTCCCCAACGATCTCACCAAGTAACAGGATAAAAACCAGGATATACGCGAAGGGAGGGCGGGAGGGCACCGTCCATCTTCAATTCGGCGAAAAATGTCAAGTCAAATCTCAATTCATCGTGTTCGACGCGGAAGCTTCCAGCAACATCGGGGCAATGGAGAAGCTTCTAGCTGCGAGTTCGGCGCGACCTCGCCGATATGGTGTGAACCTTGATTTTATCGAAGGAACTGTTAGATGGCAGACAAGATGGAAGGCTTCGCCATCTCGGCCCGGCATCACGACAAACGGGGTATCCGGCGGACGCTCCCCAGAGCTGGTGAAGGGCTGACTGGGTAGCGAGGTTCGTTCCCTTACGGAGAATCCGAGTTAGAATCCATGGTGAAAATAATCTTCGCTTTCGGGTTTGTCCGGTGAACATGTGGACTTTAAAGATACACGCCTAGGCCGACGTGGCATGAACGCCCGTAGGATGTCGGACGGGGTGTGGAGAAATTGTATGTTGGCCCTCCTCCCATGCCATGTTTTATCTGCGAGGTGGATTGGTCATGCTTCTTCGCGAGCAGCAGTAAATTTTCGTGCGACCTCCTCCTAGCCAGTGACGCGGTGGAATCTATATCCTTATTCTTATTGCTATGTAAAGCTTATTAAATAAACCCGCGAGGGCCTTGTTCTGATATTCGACGATCCCCAATCATTCGGAATCTTCCGAAACTCGGTCAAATGCAAGACTCCCAACTTGGCTCCCAACATCAACAAAAAGCTACACTCGGCTACCGCCACAGGGGAGGCCTTCACATTCACCTGCCGTCTCGTAGTTCATTCCATGAAACGTAGGTTCCCGCATCGGCGAGGTCGCGTTCAACTCGCCGCTTACGTGTTTCGGTTGCCCCGGTGTTTAGGGAAGGCTCGGCCGTGGGATTTGCCTGTGCTCCATGTTTTCTCACGTACAAGCAGGGGTAGGAATGAGCCTAAATTAACCCTTCATTACTGAGTTTAATATAGCCCTGCTCAATTTCCTTAGAGATGTCATTTATCTTCTGTAATTTATTTGTCTACCTTTAGATGTCTATTCGACACGCCAGAAGTGTATACTGCACAGCCTCTGCGAAAGGGTTAATGCGATCGAGACCGAGAGAAGGTGTCGAGTCAAACATATAGGCCTACTTTATTCGAAGAGCTATGAAGATGCGAGAGAACGGCAATGGGTTTCCATCTCTTCGGTACGATCATGCGCAGAACATCACGGAGTATGTCAGCGTTCGTCGATTAAGTTTTGTTCGGTGTCCGGGGGGTCCTCACTCGGAGTCGTCTGTGTTTCGTGCGAAAATGTTTCGGTGTCACTCTTCGTGCCTGAGAGTTGTTCGTTCTCATTGCGAGTGGCCTCTTTTTCTGTCGGCTGCGGTTCACTTTCGGGATGGAGAGACTCGCTTTCGCTCGAGGTCGCATCCTCCGTCGGAACGTCATAATCCTTCGGGATTTCCTCGGGTTTGCGTCCGGTCGAGGGGGTCTGTTCGGTTCCTTTCCCCTTCTTGACCCGCCTGAAGACGAGGGACCGGTCCCGGGACTCGACCTCGAGGACCTGCGGCCCCGTGTAAACCGTCCCGGTTTCCGCGTGTCTCCAGGCGCCCTCCGGTACGAAGATCCGGCGAACCTGGTCGGGTTGTCCCACGGGGGGGCAGACCATCTCGTCCAGGCCCAGGAGATACTGGTCGCCGGATGTGAAGGCGAAGCTGTGGTTGCTCGTCTCCCAAAGGGGGAGGATGGGCGGCTGAACGCGGGAGGCCTTCCGCCAGAGGTGAGGCGACTTGAACTGGGGGTTTCGGTAGGCGCGGCCGAATAGGTCCAGGGTGTCTTGGACGTACCCGCGGGCGCGGTGGCCGTCGAAGGCGTGGAGAGGCACCTCCGGGATCACGCAGGGGATTCGAAGCGCTCCGAGGTTCAGCGCGTTCCATATCCACCGTCTCACCGCGTTTCGGTTCGCTTTACCGGCCCGAAGGACGGTGCAGTCGCTGTTGGACACGTTCGGCGGCAGGGGCGTCACGGCGAGAACCTCTCCGGCGCTGGATTTGATGGCGTCCAGGAAGAATTCCACGTGGAAGTCTGGGTTGAGCAAGGGGACGGAGAAGCGACCGGACGTCGGTAATTCTGCTGCGCTTCCGGCGTTCACCACGAAGCTGGACACTCCAGAGCGGCGCTGGATCATCGCGATCTTCTGCTTGATCCAGTGCTGGGTCTTCTCCTTGGTGGCGTCGAGGACGGCGGCGCTGCCGATCACCGGCAGCTCCGTCAGGGCGGGGAGACCCGATCTCGTCTCTTCCAGAAAGATCCGGTCTCCCATGGATTTCTTAAAGGTCTGGGAACCGATGCTCACGAACGGGGAGATTTCCAAGGCCAGTTTCATCTCCCGATCGGCCAGTTCCTTGAGGATCCGAGTGACGTTCGGGAAGNTCCCGATCGGCCAGTTCCTTGAGGATCCGAGTGACGTTCGGGAAGGCCCTGGAGTGAAACCGGTAGTCCCCGACGTCGAGCTGCCAAGACTGGTCCAAGACGACGTATTCCGGTCTTCGCGATTTCCCGTAGACCGTATCCAGTTTTTCCAGGAACTTGAAGAGTCCCGCCTGGGAGAAGTCGGTGAAGGGGTCGGGCCTGAAGAACGCCAGCAAGGGGGTAGTGCCTTGCGGCTCGCTCTCCCCCATCTTGCGACCGCGAGGCCCGACCTCGTTGCGAACCAGCTTTAGAGTGTCTGCGGTGCAGACGCTGTAGTTGAGCTCGAGGTACTCCTCGGGTGGCACCCGGTAGTACTGCTCTTGATGGGCCACCGACAGACACAGGCTTTCCGGTTCCTCCGAATCCACCGAGACGAAAAGAGGCAGCTCGTACGGGACGTGGATGACGGCGCCAGCGCTGGAGTACCAGGTGCGTCGGAGGATCCTCCCAAACGGACCGGCGCCGGTGACGTACGCGGTCCGGTTCACCGAGAACGGCTGATCCTCCCCGGCTGGTCGGTTCAACGGCCAAGTGAAGCCGTCTCCCATGCCGTACCACGAGGCGCCGACCAGACTGAAGCAGTCCCGGTGCTCCGTCTGCGTCAACAGCGACGACCACATGAAGTTGTAGCACTGCACCCTGCGGGGAGGTCGTAGCATGGAAACTCATCAGTGAAAGGGATTTTATGAATATTAACAAATTACTTCATAGTGACATATGAATCATTTAAAAAAGAATAAAAAATAAAAAACTTTCAGGGTTGATATGACGATATCTGCCGTTAATAGGTAGGAAAAACAGTCATCTCGAGTGAAGTTACTCTCTGGGAAAAAACTGAAGGAAGGAATCCCCCATGTACAGTAGAACTCTATAGGGTGGCCACAAAGTCCCTTTGCATGAAAAACCATGTTCTCTAACGACATTTTTTGTTCAATTTTGCAGATAGGGGTTCAATATGACAAGCACGATAGAATAAATACTTGTTAGCAGTATTTGGGTCCATGATCGCAAGAGAGAGCGGATAAGTTGTGAAGACATAAGAGCGCAATTTTGGCCGAGGTTTAATAAGCCTGCTCCCTTACGTGAAACATTACGGGCATGGGAGAAAAAGGCTTTCTCAACAGGGTGTGTTCTTGACGCAAAGCGTTCTGGTCGTCCAGCGTCACGTCGGGATCATGTGGACATTGTTGAAGCTTCCTGTTCACGATCGAAATCAACGCGGTCAGACATCACGATCAGAAATCAACGCTGAAACGTTCTTCGGAATTAGGCATTCCTTGTTCAACATTGCAATAAATATTGAAAAAGGATTTAAGGTTGAAGCCGTTCAAGCCTGGACACATCAATGAGCTTAGTGATAGGGACTTGGATACATGTGAGGCTGCTTGCAAGGCACACTTACGATGTTTTCCCACGTATGAATCAAGGCGACACGTTTTTTCCTCTGGTGAGTGTACAATTTATCTCAGCGATCGAGCCAGGAATGTTTATTTTTGTTGCAAGGAAAACCCCCATTACTATGAGGAAATTGAGCAGCACCCACCTCATGTCATGATGTGAGCAGCAATTTCAACAGATCACTTAATTGGTCCAAACTTTTTTGAGAGAAGTGTTGATCACAGGGTGATTATGAAAATGCTGCAAACGTGGAACATTCCCAAACTGCGTGAGAGGGATCTCGAATCAAAATGCATCCTGCAGCAAGATGGTGCACCGGCACACCATGCTCTCGCAGTTCGAGAATATCTTAATAACACGTTCAGTGGACGATGGATTTGACAAGGATCTGATATGGCATGGCTACCTCGAGGCCCAGACTTGACAACATGCGATAATTCACTGGGGCATTGTGAAGGAGAAGATTTCACAACTGCGGCTAACAAATGTTGAAGACCTAAAGACAGCCATCAGGGACAGACATTTATGGTATTCACTTATGGTCTTCACCGTGGAAGAAAATGTCTAAAAGAACATGGACATGGGTCAAAGAATGTGCGGAGAACGGAGGGCAACATATGATGCAAAGGGACTTAGTGGCCACCCTGTACTTAAGAGTAAGAAGGAAATTAGCGCATTTCCGGTCGAGTCTCCAATCAGCGTCCTGCTACGTCGACTTGGCGGGGAAGGATCGCGGCGATTGCTAAATTACATTTAGCTATCACCCACTCACACTACGACTATCGCAAAGTCCCCCCCCCCCCGCCCCTTCCATCTTTCACTCCTTTCCAAGTTAGGGAGAGAATAGGACTCTGACCCGGATCCGTGCTGCTGCAGGGAGACGTAGAGGCGGGCTTTCCCCTTCCATTCCATGCAGAGTTCATCGTAGTCCAACTCCATCTGTCGGAGGCAGAGGAGTCCAGCGTCCCCTCCGAGTCCCATCCCCAGCTAGCAGGAAAATTAAAAAAATGTGACGTGGCATGCGATTTGCCATTAACGTTATAATAAGCTATAGGTTCTATCCGAGGGTGTCATTACGACATGCATCGATTACTTATGCTAAAAGTAATGCGGGGTGAAGCAAGTAAATGTGTTGGGGACATTGCTCCCGTCCCCCAACCCCCTTCCTTCCAATCCCTGAACGGCCTGAGAAAATTGGCCTACATGTTGCAGGTTTCTTTTGGGCTCTCTGGGGACCGCACATTTGGCCTCATCGATGGGCAGGATACCGAGGGGACGTTTTTCCGCATCGTGCATCCGTTGAAGATGCAGTGAAAGGAAATTGATGCGTTATGACCGTTTTATCCTCGACGGCGACTCCGATCCTGTCGGCTAAGAGGGCGGTACGATCGTTTACGTAACTTTAAATCCCAGCTTCGAAACCACGTATGGAGCACAAAGCCTCTTCAACAAAAATGAAGCCGACTTCACATGGAGTATCTGCTTTCCGTACGTATCCGCAGACGAAGTATGATTTCCCCGATAGCGAACCGCTGCCATCGTCGTTCTGTTATCCAGTTCGCGTCCAGCGCCTTGCGAACGCCTTTCGCACCGAGTTCGCGGTCGTTGTGCGTTGGCTGCCAATATGCATCCTGTTCATTCTTTCCTGGCCGATACCTTCGAGTCTCACGTCCTCTACTTGTTGCCCAGGTCAAACCAAAGACTCAGATGTGACCCTCCAACCTTTTTTTTATCTTTTGCATTTCCTTCCCTCGAGCCCGAAAGAACCCCGTTAATACACCTATTCGAAAAAACCTAAGCGGTAGAGGCTAGGAAAGGAGATGGCATTCGCCAGAGAAGATTCCGAGCTCCAAGACTGTCGGGCCCGCTTTGCTCTCGGCTCACACATTCACTACTATGTTTCGCAAATGAATTCGAACCACCTTTAACATGAGGGCCCATGCTTTTCTATGGAAGAAGCCTCCCAAGCTGGACGGCGGCGGTTTCGTCTCGGCGCCTGGGCGATATTCAACGTCCGTAGAGTGAACTACAGCGGATCGGAAAATGTTGAGGCCAAGATTAAAGTATAAAGGAATTATTTTTCTATTTTGGGAGGAACATGATGGGTTGAAATAACAAGGGGTTTACAATAGGGTCCGGGAAGACGTGAAATAAGAAATAGAACAAGGAAAATTTCAAGAGAAAAAATCAAGTATTCGTAGAAGGGAAGAAACATAGAAATCGAATACAAGGAACAATGTGTCAGGCTTTAGGTCACAGATTCCATCGTACTTACAGATTTTTTTTAGGCATTCTGCTGATAATTGAAAAAATCAAATCAAATCAAGGATGTCGATGGCCATAGCTATCTTCAAATGCACAGTCCAACATAGATTTGAAGTGCGTCGAGTATTTGACATTCAGCCTTTTGGGACATGAGAATGCATGACTGCCCGACCCGGTACTTGGCAACGATCCTGCGTCTCAACGACTCGTCTACGATGTATGTGTAGGAACTGACAAGAGGGAGGAGCCAGGATTAAAAAAGCGCAAGGATCCAAAACCGCAAAATCGCCATCCGAAACCGCAGAAAATGCGGTTCGTAATCGTAGGAGATTTTCATGGCCGAATGCCTAATCCCCAGGTGATGAATTTTTAAATCACACAAGCACTGGGGATCGGGCAGTCCGGAGTTCAGAGAATTTCCTCTAAAATGAAATTTCGTCACATGAAATAAAACTAGTGAATGTGCGTGGCAAGCTGAATTTCCAGCAGCTGGGAAGTTGATAACAGTAGCCCATATTCGCGTTAAACAAAATTGAAATAATGGAATCCATAATTAGCTATAGCTTGAAGTGGTAGCTGACATACTTCATGAAGTCCAATCGCGTGATTTTATAATTAACACGAGTCAAGGGCTGACTGATAATGAACTTCGTACCAAGACGTATCTGTGATTTGAATTCCTTTCAAATTCATTTTGACTTTTCCTTTGCTATCCGTTCGACTTGCGCATCGCCAGAGTTTCTTTCTTGCCTGCATAGGCACTTCTGTACTTATGATATTGGTGTATGATGCAGTCCTCACTTTTGTTTCGGTTCGTTGGAAATCCATACATGCACTCCCTTGGAGAAAGGCGACACTCCCAGCGTAAAGCACACAATGCAGTACAAGGTGAAAGTGGGGGGGGGGGCTTTTTTCGCCTCGACAAGGTCAAATGGATCCAGCAACCCTGCCATTCTCCCTGCGGTTATGGTATACTTGTTTCTGCAGTTTTGACCCATGCTTTATCATGTATCAGATATATATATTTTTGCGGTTTTGGATTGCAGCCAAAAAAGTAGAGAAAAGAATTTCTGAAAATGGCTCGCTCTCCAAAGCACAACCTCCAAGTCATCCATAACCTCCTCTTGGGCATTTGATGGGGGCAGGAACGATATACTCTAATGCGATATTGTGAGAATATCATCTGATGGAATTTATTGTTATCTGATGCTTGCCGACTGAATCAAGCAAAAGTAATTGAATGTCGAAATTGACCGAATGATTGCGAAATTTCCAATTTCAGTTTCGCATAACAGCTTTTTCTTAAAAAGCAAAAAAAACAATTATGTATGTTTTTGGACCAGCCTTATAGAGCGTGAAAGACACCCGAAAGCTGGATTAGCTACAAGCATTTTTATTTTGGAATTTTTAGGTTTAAAATTTGAAATGTTCTCAATTACAAAATTCCTATTTTTCCGTAATCGAGGCCCAAAAACGCATGAATAAGTTATGACTGTTTGGCTTCCCGCTTTGAGATGAGCTATTAACCAGCTTTCTTGCTTGGGAAGTTTGGGATATGCAGTATTTGCCCGAGAAATTATTTTACCCTTTCCTCCTAATCTTCAAGATGTTCGATTTACTAGTTTCCCGCACGATGCCTTTTTTTTAACAGTCAAATTCCAGTCGGTGTAACAACCAACCTCTTGAACACTTGACATTGAATGATTCGTTTTGTAATTGATAGTATAAGTGCAGTATAATCATTGGCATCATGTTACGCCATAAATAGACGAAGGGGTGAAGGACCTGCTTTCTTCTCATTGATGCACTCCCCCGAATAAAAACATACGTAATAAAACAGTCATGCTGAGGGGATGCAAGCCATCCGAAGATGGCAAGGCAATATAAGTCAGATGAAGCTAGCACTTGGAGTGGTCGATGCCGCCCGATTAGTGGAAACTGGTCGCTGGCAGGAAATGCGAGTCGGTTGTAACCGGCCGGTTTAGCCGAGAGCCAACAAAAATCCCCTAGCATAACCTATAGGCTGCGCGAAACGGGGTAGGGTCGTGGGAAACACTTGTAAGAACTTTCGGAAGCGTCGGGCGCATGCATCGGCCTACTCACCGGCCGAACCGCCGAAGCCAGTCGAGAGGCATCTGTAGTTTCTACCGTAGCTACAGACATCCGCAAGGGAGCGACATGCGGATGCATCTCCTCTCTCTTAGCCCATCGTGGCTCGAGCCCTTCCTCGGTCCCTCGGCCGGAAGGCGGCGGTCAATAAGACAGGGAATTGCCTTCAATTTCCATTCCGGGTTCATTCCCTTCCGATTTACATGGATTGCCTCGGGCACGCCAGCCCTTTCCGAAAGGAGAAAATAAGGAGCGCTTCTTTTTCGCCCGTAGTAGGTACTCATTCTGCTGCGCTTATAACAGCTCGAGGGCGCAAATAAAAATGACGGCATTTAACTTCATCGTCTCGAAACCGAAGGCATGCATGCTAACGATATGTCAAATATGTGACGTATGTACGAGTATAGGCTTGAAAATGTTGACCAGCTCTCTTCATGATTCGGCTGTGTCAAACATCTCATGTCATCCCATCTCACAAATTTCTTTTTTGTTTGGCCACACACGAGGAGACGGAAATGACGCTGCAATGGCTTCAACTTTACCTCATTCAGCAACCTCAGAAGATTCGTTCCTTTTGTATTTTTGGCCGCGGCATTTTCCTGGCCTCGCCCCGCACCACTTTAAGGTCTGTTAAGGTCATATTTTAAAGACTAATTTACGGACAATCCGAGAACCTCAAGGGTCGGAAAGACCGATTCGTCACCTTCCCCACACTTCAGAACGTAGAAATGTGGAAAACAATTTCCGAGGTGTTCACTTCCATCAGGGTAGAAGTGATTAGTGGTCGCGGGATATATATTCTCCGAGAAACCTTTGGCAACGAAAATTTACATTTATTGTGCAAATTTTTTTCCGATTGAAAGCATTTCCGTTTACCATATGGATTTCGAGGTGAACTTGAAACGGTTCAAGTTTTCGCGAGACGATCTGACTTGCACGGATTCCCTTTCGAGTGATATTCGCAGCTCACGCAAAGTTTGCACGAATTCCTCATCGATCACTTCCTCATTTCTCGCGAATCGATCGTGCACCCAGAGTGCCCGCCTCATCGTCGGTCTGACATGAAACTTTTAGCCTCGTGATTGTCTTCGTTTTACTCATCTAGGTTAAGAGGGACAGGAATGGCGTCGGAGAGAAAGAGAAGAGAGAAGAAAAAATTGAGATGTGCATCGTTCTTCCGGAAGGTGGACTCCAAGCATCTTCCAAACAGGACGATCCATAAACACGGTATTACTACGTCATAATGCCCACCTGCACCACAAAAAGTTACCCAAAAATGGAAGTTCAAGGGATGCTGGAGAGGAGGGAGAGTGAGGGGCGAGGGTGGGGGGGTGGGGGGGAAGCCAGAGTATCAGATGGCGAAATGGAGGGTACGGGCAGGAAAGGTAAACAAATGTCACTTCCAGGCTTGGTGGTACTTGTTGACCCCGGGAATTGTTTATGATGATTCGCCGACGAGCGGAACACCATCGTGTAAAAGTAGAGCAAGTATCTTCTTCGCTTAGATTCATTCTCGTTACACAGCGAAAATTAGCGCCTTTTTTTCTATGCCCACCTTGCCAAAACAAAGAGGATTTAATCCTGGAACTACCTTATGGGTCGAATGGACCTCGATGATGAGTCCACACGGCACATCGCAGCCAACACGTCACCAGTTGTGTGAGCGGCGCCATAAATTGGCCCGATGCTCTATCACTTTTCAACGATGACGTGACATCAATTATTTAACCACTTCTTTTTACGTTCCCGTATTGCAAAAATAGATACTGGGACCAACGGATCGATGCGAAGGACAGAAAATGCTACCAATTAAGTGCTTAACGAAGCGAGAAAAGCGGTGTGGCGATACCCTCAGACCGGTTCGGCCCATTCACGGAGACGCGCGGTCTCACGGAGACAAGCCGTCCGACGAGGGAGAGCGCCTTGCCTGTGAGTGCCGAAATCGAGGAGGGTTTGTATATATGCCACCCGGTCTGATCTCGCCCCGTCCCCGATCTCTCTCTTATGCAATCCGGTTAGGAAAAAAATAAATCCACCCCCCATTACCGTACCCGTCCGGTGAGTATCGGATGCTGGCTGGAGTTGAGGAAAGCCACGCGCCGGTCTCGCTCGTCGATGTGCATCTGAGTACCCAGGTACCGCTAAATCCATAAATAAATAAACAACAACATAGAAACGAGCTCATAAACGAATGCAATAAATAAATTAATGAGACGTTAATAACAGTAATACAAAGTGGATTGAAAAGGTTTGGAGACTCGGGTCACCCCCGACCGTCGTTGTCTTTTACAAAAAAAAAAGTCTGTGAGCGTAGCAATGGTTTCGCCCGCCGTGCTTTCCAGAGCGAATGTACTGAGCCTCATGTAGCACTTACTGAGTGTTAGAGTGGCATCGACGGTTCTAAGAAGGCCGCGCTGGGCATGTCCGAACGTTCGTCGCCTTCCGGGGTCTCGGGGCCTCATAACCGTCGATGCCGCTCAAACGCTCGCGGATACGATATTGCATCGTCCCCATAGGTCTGTTTCGGCATTCCAAAGGTCTCTGCAGCCATTTATCCCAATCGGGCAAAGCTTCACGTTAGCACGCTGTTCGAAACGTGACATGTTCACTAGGTAAGTGCAGGCTGCCGACCTACAGCTGAAGTACGTGGCCCAACCCACCAACTGCCACATGAGACTCGGCGCATTTGCTAGACATTTGTTTTGGTATGCAAGGCAACGGTCGGTCAGGGTGATCCGAGTCTCCAAACTTGTTCAATCTACCTAGTACATAACTAAAATAAATAAATATGGAAGGAAAAATACACTGAATCTGCGAAACTCACGATGAGAAGTTGGCGATAATAATAGATGTAGGTGAGGGCCATGCCGACCGTGATGCTCAAGAAGAGGAAGGCGACGAAGATCTTCACGGCGGCCTTGTCGTCCAGCTTTCCAGATGAACAATATACAATAAAAACTGTTTTTAAAAAATTATATTAGCTCGTATAAATAACGACAGGAAAAATGAGAAAAGCGGACTGGACGGACCATCGCCCTCTTGAAGAAGGAAGAGACGGAGGATCGGAGCGACTTGTAAGGGGAACTTGGCTCCACATCCTTGAGCTCGGGAAGGTTCTTCACCAGGGAGTCTCGCCGAACTTTTATCGCCAGGGGAATCCTGGATTGTGGTGCATCTCACATCACAACAATGAATGGGTGATTAATGATGGAATTTGTTTCATTATATATTGAATTTACTAATTTTATTTTCCAGCACTTTTCATCACCCTCTTATTATGATACACCCAAACAGTGAAAATAGAAAACAAACCAAATGAAAATTAACATTTTTGTTTTTCGTCGAGAATCAGCCGAGACTGTTTCAACTGGTTTGGATACCACCGATTCGAAATTTTAATTGGCTTTTTGGGAAACGTTAGTGCGTGATGAACGACTGTGAAACCGAAACTTCTTTTTGGAAGACCGTTTCTCATCTTCGTCGAAATGAAAGCAGGAATCTTGCTTTTAACAATTTGCCAGGATGGTCTTATCAGCGAAAGAGAAACCTCCGAGTGATTGTGCAAGAGGCTTGGCAAAGTGACAGATCTAGTCCAGAGCGAACGAGATTTGCTATAAATATTCAACGGCCAAGCCCTAGTAAATGTTAGAGGAGAAAAGAAGTTGGCTCTCGCGACACGAGGAATGGTCCCCTGCTCTGCGGGGAGACCAAATTCTTCTCTTGTGATTAGTTGAACGGGTTCCGTGCCCCGCCCATCGCGAGGCCTCATTGGCGAACTTTTCACCCCCTTCCCAACGCCCAGGCTTAGAATGAACCTGCAAGCCGAGAGGTTGGTTTGCTATTCTTTCAGCCCATCCCAACTCAGTGTAATGCAGTTTATTACAATTGGCTTTCGAGCGCTTGGAATTCACATTCTGCACGAGACATTACCCTGCATCGAACATGCAGTTAATTTTATTCCGGACTCACTCAAAATGCGTCGCATTTAAGGTGAAGGCCGGTGCATTAAAATCGCGATTTGATTCCGATCGTCCACGAGATTATCTGGGGATATACAGGTTTGGGCCTGATAGATATCGAGGATTAGCTCAGATTCCGTTGTTGAGCCTGGAGAAACCTGAAAAATCGAGATAAAGGGAACAAGTTAGACGAGCCCACTACAGGAGCGAAATTTTTTTTCTTCGGAAGTTAGGAAACAGGGATGGACATGGACGTGGCACATCCGGCTAGAGCGCAGATGAGCAAAAACGCCTCAGCACGAATCATGTGCGCAAATACCCGATTATGTAACGCCTGACTATTCTGGATTCCTGGTATCATCGTCGAAAAAGGAAAAGTTATTGGACCTGTCGTGTAAACAGGCTCGCTTTGAAAAGACCTGTATTTACAGAGGAGGAAGACATACGACGCTATGACTCACGTGACGGCCACGTGTTCGTCGTCGGACTCGGCATGATTGGCGGTAAGGACCCAGCTGCTACGAACGACTTCCTTTTCCCTGGCGTCGGGCTTGGGAACCCGGAGAAAGGTGGGTTTGGTGGCCGGGACGGCATCAGGGGTCTTGGGTTTGGGGAAAAGGACCCGATCCAGGAGTTTGTTCGCAATCACGGGGGCGGAGGGGGGGCTGGGTAGGCGAGGGGGCTGGAGGTCGGAGCGGGATGATTCCATCAGGGAACCGGGGGCACTCGGGACGATGTGGAGGTGGAATTGCTTGCTTGGGTCAGGGGGGTGGAGGGTCGTGGCGAGCTTACGCTGGGGGGTGGAGGACGAGGAGTCATTTGGGGGCGGATTCTCCCCGGGGGAGGGAGGGTCCGGGGAAGATGGATCATGGAGGGAGGTCGGGGGAGTTTCATCCTTCGTACCCGTCTTCCACTGGGGAGTAGGGTGGTCCATCGCCACGGGGGACAAGCCGTTCTGCTTCTTCTTCACGGGAACAGGGGAATAAGAACACGACATGATTACAGTCTGTCGTAAACCCTCACCCACAAAAATCTCTACATGGGCGATGGTAGAATAATGTTTCGTGTGTGACCGAGCTTTTCGTCTCTCTTGTTGGAGTCGACAAACTATTCGCTACCGGCCTTCGGCGAATGCACGACTTTATCTCTAAGCAATTCGGATGCGGGTCCGAATAAGGATCGGGATAAGCACGTCGAATGAGCGAACGATATGCCGGCCGGAGAGTAAACATATGTGCCTGCCGTCGATCGGCCTCCACGCACAAACGCGACCTCATTCCGACCGAGAATTTATATCATATCACGCACGAGAGCGAGAATCGATCAGAACTCTCACAGTCGAGAACTCTTGCAGAAACCCTCACCGAGTCGGGACCGAAGAGCAGCTGCAGCGGTATCTGCAGGGGATCCTCCATGGCTCATCACGAGAGACCGATGCACGGGGACTGAAGGAAGGAGAGCATGTTAGGCATGGAGACGGCACGAGACAAGGGAAAAATGGGGAGAGAGCAGAAATGGAGGGCAGACTACCTGCTTTCGATCGGGAGATAAGATCCTCTGGTTTCCCTCACTCAGGACGGGGTCCACGAGAGACTCTAATTAGTGCGTTATTCCGGTCCGGTGCAGTGCACGCACTCGAGACGTGTCAGCACCTGCGGGGCTCTTGATGGGATGGAGAGACCCTCCACATGCCGGCGGGGTGTATACGTCCCTGCTCTCTTGGAGTCAAGGTCAGTCGTCCAAGGTCGAGGAGTGGAGGGGAGATTTCCTGGACTGACACGGTGGAAAGGAGCCCGGGGGAGGACGATATCGCACGGCTGAGCTGCTTCCGATTAAAACAGAGCCGACAAGGGGAGGATAGTCTGTTCTTATCTCGGGGTCGGCAGTGTTGATGCCGTGAGCAGTGTTGTCGCCAGGGATTGGATCGGAGAACCTCTTTCAACGTATTCGAAGCCACCGTTTCGATTGGATTAACCTACCGAACGTGCGATTAAAGTTGTCATTCCATCGAAATGAATGGAATTGTTATTTGGTTCTGAATATCTCACCGGACACCTCTTTTACTTTTTCAACCTCACTGCATAGTTTACAAAATAACGAAAGGTCATTCAATGATCGCAGTCTCATGAAATGCTGTCCATCCACACCTTTTGGTATGGATTGAGAATAAGATGTTATTTATTTAAATAGAACATGTATTATTTTTATGATTCTGAGTGCTGCGCTCTAGTAACTTTCCGAGACCCTTCAGTGAGTTATTATTAGTTATTATTTGTTATTCTGAAGCCTCGCGGCGTCTCGTCGTCAGAATTTTCCTTCATAAACTCGACATAGAGTTTCATCCGTGTTTCCGACTTCCCTACAGCCACCTAGAAATGCCTTGCTTCAATTTGGATCTTGCTCTTTCTACTTCGTTGGAGTCGGGGGTTATTAGAAAGCGGAAGAACGAGATGAGAAAAATGGCCTGCAAATAGTCGACTTTTATCAAATCCAATAGCAGCCGTCGTTATTTTATCTCTTCAATCTGCTATTGTGAGAATGGAAATGACATGCCTCAGTGTTCCTCGTCGAAGGCATATGTTAAATGAAAAATTGACGCTCCTCACGCAAGCAAACGAGGCTCGTGATAAATGGCGCGCATGGATTGGCTGATCCAGGCAGATCAAAGTCCCGGCAGGTCTGCAGCAATCAGGTAGGTGAGAATCCCAGCGAGTCAGCATTCAGGCATTTTCATATATTTTCTGGGAATATATATAATATTCCTATTGAGTATTTTTTTCCAATACATTTTCCTGATAGTTTGTTGCGATTTGAATAGTAAAATGATTCGTTGTTCCTTGAAATTACGGTATCTAATTTATATTTGATAAAACTGCCCTCCGCTTTATCCCGTCTTGCCAAATGTTGCCACGGTTTCCGGACCCTTCGATTGCGACCTGAAATGGTGAGACTGCGACAAGTAATGATCTCGCAACCGCTTCCAATATGATATGCTAACGGAATGTAAAGAGACGACTGGAAAGGGAAGCCCATATGTGGAGTAAGCGCCATCTAGCGATATTTGAAGCCAAAACGGTGTCTCCAGACAGAACGATAAGCGGTATCTATTCCGATGACGCTGCAGCACTTGCGCGAACCCGACTGATGTGGAGATTCACCCATTTTCTGAAGCGAAATTTTGAACTTGGAATTTTTGCAGATGAACGCAAAAACGCGCATATCAATCATATATGAAAATAGAGATTCGAAGATCCTTCCTCGCAACTTGAGCAACATATAAACTCGGCTATTTCAAAAGTCCTGTTGGACGATTCCTTTCCTTGAAAAGTTTTCATTTGATGAGATCTGAAAGACAGACCCGAGAAGAAAAGCAATAACCACGGCAATCCTCTGAGGGACCAGAAAATGAACGTTTCTAAAGCGGGGGAGGTGGGGAGTTGGATCTTGGCATCATCTTCATCGTCATCCTGACGTCGCCTTCAGGAGTCAGGAGTCAGGAGAGTTAGTGATATCAAGAGGCGATTTCGCCCATTA